GCAATGTCAGCACCGGCGCTAGCAGCTTTAACGACAAACCAAGCAAGAGCTAGAAGTACGAAGGCCAGCAACTTGCACCGCACCACATGTGTTACAAGCAAAACGAGGCCAGCACATGAGCACGACCAAACCATTCCTCGGTATTGGCTCCACTTTCACGCACCCCACCAAACATGTTTCCAAGCCGATCGCCGGAACAGAAGCAATCACCTCAGAAAAAATATGAAGTTGTACTAACATGTCTCAAAGTTTTACAAGAAGAAATGCATCCATCATATCTAACCATATAAACCTTGCACATGCAAAAGAATAAGTGGCAAACAGGGACAGATCGACGAGCGACCTCAGGCAGCAATGTACATGCAAAAGTAACCATAAAAGAAGCTTAAGCCACGAAGTCAAACCAAATACGTTTGTCCGCTTTCAGCAAAAAGCACAAACCCAGTACGAACCATACCCTAGCAAGCCACGCAATAGAAAAGCTAGCTCACTCCGTACCAAACAAACTCGAGTCCACCACTGCAGCGGGCTGCGCTGTCAAAACCTCAACACCATGGCAGGGTCATCCGATAGTGACAAAAACAGCTGCATTTGACTCCAAACAGCACGCAAAACACAGCAAATGTGAAACTTCTCAACAGCACGCTTAGGCGGGAGCATCGCGGCGACGAGCCTCAACAAAAGAAACAGCAAGATTTTTCACATTTTCTATCCACACAGAAACAAAGTTCAGGACCATCTCAACATATTTAACCTGAAATATTCCTCATCTTCTTTGATTGGGATACACAACACACTCCAAGAAAACACAAAAGAAAAGATTGCCGCGCAGAGCAAACTGAACATGTTTCACCCGAGGCAGAGACTTGCACATTCATGCGACGGGTCCCTGGCCGCCTCCACCTAGCAAAAAGCTGGTGCACGCATCCAGCGAAACCACAAAACGAGCCAGCTGAGAAACTACGAAACTGTCCAGGCAACAGACCGTGCATAGCGGCGATGGTCGTGCCGGTAGTAGTCGTCAACCACCTTATCAACAACTCCCACTCACAGGTACATGAACAGATGCACGACACAATCACAGCATACGCAAAGGTGCACCGGAGAAAAAAAAACAAAAACTACACACACGTCACAATCTAAGAGCAGCACGCGATCACGCCACTGCCGTGAAGCCTATGAGATTTTGACTACAAGTGAACCAACTCAAAACTCTTCCGAGCCCACGACTCGGAAGCCCAGCACCGGGTCGACTTTCGGGACGCGAGCCTGGACACCGCATGTAGACACCGGCCGAACTCAATGTCAAGAAAACAGCGACACGCTCAAAAGAAAACCAGTCAACGCTAGCACAACCAAAAAAAAACACATCCACTCAAGCGCAACGTCAAAACGACAGCAACGCAATGTTCACTGCCACATAAAAGTTCAGGCAGGCACTGTCTTGAAGTGAGCACGAAGCACCTGATGCAGGAGTTCACGAACAACAATGTGCATACGTTTACGTTGCAAAGAAGCTGAACACAATGTGATTACAGTTGTCACACCGCTAAGTCCGTAACCTTCACCACTCCCACTCCGCCCTGCCAAAAGCAGTCCATCATCGCATCGCGTAACACCGCCGTGCAAACCAGCATCAAACAGAAGAAATCCAAAGAGCATGAATCATGTCAAAATAAGACCTGCCTGGAACCACTCCAAATAGGCTGTCACCTTCAGATGTCGGATATACGCGCAACCAAGCGTTCGCGAGTGCCCAAAAACGATGACACAATCTGAGTGCCGAAACAGATGGCGACTCCGGCCCACCCTGTCCAGTGAAGCACGACCCTGGTCCACTGTTATAAGATCACAGAAAGCAGTCATACAAACACCCGAGCTGCAGGCAAAATTGACGTAGTTCAACCATTCGTTATGTTTCGAAGAGAACGCGCCGCAAAACAAAGGTCCCACCTCGTGAAAGCGCTCGAAATCACGCTGCGCTATCTGCAGATGGAAAGTGCAACAACACAACATTCACAGCGACGCTACACTGGAACTAACTGCCCAGGAACGGCCAAAAACAAATCAGTAGGCATCAGGAAAAATCCACATCACATGTTACGAGGACAACATCTGAGGACGAAACAACTGCCACAAAAAAGACGAACAAGATGAGCGACTCCATCGCGAAAACAAACCAACAAGAAGCCGAAGGACAAGCAGATATTACTACAATAAAAACTAGTGCGCACGAGATTGCAGCTCAAAAGATCACTGGTCAGCCTTACACCTCTAAAAACCAAAAATGCTCGTGCTGCTTGATGACGTCTTCTCGCCAAACCATAAGTAGGATCCACGGCTTTTGCACGCAACGCCACAGAGTCGAGCAACATGAATAGAAAGCTAAGTGCCAAACCCACAAGTCAAAAAATGTCGACATTGCCTGAGAATGATCCCGTGCAACTACAATTACAATGTCACATTTGCCGTCAAGAACAACATGTAAGGAGCTCACCAGCTTCAAACGGCTTGGCACAGCCTGGTCCAACACGACACGCGAAGAAGAAACCGTCAAGTAACCCGCATGACAAGCTGAGTACCTAACCCACAAGTAACGCAATGTGGACACGGCCTTAGAATTGCCCCGTGCGATTACAATTATCATGCCACATTCACCGTCAAAAAACAACATATAAGGAGCTGACCAGCTTCAAACGGCCTGGCTCAGCCTGCCGCGACACGACATGCAATGAAGAAACCGTCAAGCAACACGCATGTAGCGCTGGGTGCCAAACCCACGACTTCCACACGCTGCACGTGGCCTAAGAACATTGCCATGCAATTGCAACTACAACGTCACATGCCACGTAACCAAAGAAAAACTCCAACACAACACGCGAAGAAGCAAGCTAGTTCACCACCGACAGCAGCGTGTAAGGAGGTAACCAACTTCAAACGGCCTCCAGCAACCTGGCCCACATGACATGTCAAGAACCAACCTAGTTCAAGACCAATAGCAACGCATTAGGAGTCAGGAGCCCGCCAGCTTCACACGGGCACGAACGGCCTGAAACACATCTTCATTCAAATTGACTCAAATTGACATACCACGATCTAGCACTGCAGACGTAAATCGCAAAGTAAGGCGACAACAGCCTTCACATTGCGACGTACCTGCTCCAGCACAAGTAAAGAAGGCGTCACCACACACCACACACCACACGCCCCACCCACACACACACACACACACACACACACACACACACACACGCAGGCTTCAGCACAAGAAGAACTATCAGTATCATGAACTGTCACGAACAAAGCACCAAAGACAGTTCGAAACTGAGGAGAAGACGCGCGGACGCTTCAAACGGCTCCGTACCTTCCATGACAAAAATGTATAAGATGGCGCCCCTTGCCACGATACATGGTTCTTGCACTAGAGCTCTTGCAACAACATTCTCAGGCGCTGACGACCAACGCAAAGAAAACAGTCAGAAGCAGCAGCGACATGGCAAAGGGTATTGCACAAACGAATACTACCTACAGGACCATCGTTTCAAACAATGATCAGTCCAAACGTGTATGCAAGTGCATGTAGTGATGCTGTGAATGCAAAATGTATAACGTTATCACTAGAGAAGCCCGTAAACTGGAAGCGCAGTAAACATTGTGCAGTATTACGTGTGTGAATTATGTGAAGTGTGAAATGTGAATTGCGGTACGACCCCGCTTGCTGAGACACTTAGCTCAAAACCTGGTTAAGGCTATTGCATTGAGCCACAAAATATAAATTCAACAACATGTGGAGCAGCGAAAGCTTGAAGCCTGAGGCTTGGGAGTCGGACGTGAGGGCTTTCATGAATTGAACTTCTTTGGGGGGTGTCGTCGCGATTCCCACGGAACTCCATACTTCGGATAGATTTGATGCAGCAACGGCATGTGTGAAGCTGGTACAGGGGTGGTCCTTAGACTCCTTTTCATGTACTCCGCGTGCGATTTCCTGTCTCCATTGAAAAATAGCAGCATCATGAGGACATGCTCCCGTCTGTGTTTTTTGGTGGCCGTCGTTCCCAAAGGTCGAACTCCACGTGTTCTCGCACGGAAGCAACAATTGTTTATCCTGTTGAACGACTTCCACAGGAATTTTGGCTCGAAATCCTCTTCTGTTTGTTCAAGATACTTCGAAAGCATACATGTAGTTCAAGCATTGAACACATTATGTTGCGCTTTTCAAGCACCATGTCGATCAAGAACACTTCTTGTAGAACGTCCAACTATCAGAGAGGCCGAGAAAGAAAGAGCAACATCAGCAGCAAAGATTTCTAGATTTGCACGTTCACAATTTTTGTCGACACTTTGCCTGTTCTGTAGAAATCCAACAGCAACACTATATTCAAACACATCCGCACTCCTAACGAAACGCCTGCAAAATTGACGTAACACAGCCGCAGAACCAGAATGCGCGCTCTCAAACCCTGGGCCGGAGTGTTTCACTGTACAACAACGATTGATTTGGACCTCCACAGTTCTACAGGAAAAGGTTGAAAAGCCACTACAGCTCCTTCAGTGCTAGCACATGCAACAGTTGTCCACAAGTGCACGCGCGCTGAATTTATGGGCCGCCACCCTCCCCCCCTTTGCAGCAAGATTTTCACCCAAGGTTATTGCAAAACATAAAGCGCTGTTTTATTGTTTTGTTTAACAATAATGAATCAAAGGAATGCGGCTGTGTGTGCAGCCCCTGCAGTCCCAACCAGCCGCAGCACTCCCCTGCAGTCACTACAGCCCCTGCATCCCTGCAGTGCCTGCAGCCCCTGCAGGCCCAACAGCCGCTCCAGTCCCTGCAGCCACTACAGCCCCTACGTCCCTGAAGCAATTGAAGAAAACCCGCAAGACTTACTGTACCATCTGGGGCCCGGCCTGAAACAGTTGAAGGAAACCCGAAAGACTTACCGCCTGGGGCCCGGCCTGAAGCTTGTTCTTGTTCCGAGCAATCAGAGTGCGTCGCTGCTTAATTAAAATGCACTGTGGAAACCCCGAAAAGGGGCTGAGATAGTCGAGTGCCAGAAGCTGCTGGGCGCCCGAAGCCAGCCCTGTACTCGCCATAAATGCTGGTACAGGCACAGCAAACCTTTGGCCAAATCTCCTCGACCTGAATCGGCCAAGGGAGATGGGGAAACACTAAGCGCTAGGGGCCACTCATCTCCGTGCCAGGGGTCGCCCAGCTGCACGCGCAGTGCTGCTGCCAAGTGTTCCTGGCGTTCTTGCCCAAGATGGCTGACACAACTGAAGACGACATAAGCTCCATGTTGAGCGGGTCGCACCCCATCCGGACTGCGCCAACGCAGCGGGGCGCTGCGGTTGACCTTCTCCTCTCTGTCCAGCCTCGCGTCCTCCACATAGAAGAAGTCCCGGACCGACGTCTCCAGGTTCTGTGGAAGCCTCACGCCGAAGAAGTCCGAGGCCTCGTAGAGCTTCCGCGCGATGTCTTGCTGCTCCTGCGGGTAGAGCGGGAATTTAGCCAGACCGACAAGAACAATGTCGATCAGCGTCTCACTCTCTCCTTGGTGCCCCATCAGCGCATTGCCGATGTCCAGGTACGCAGTGTTGACCACGGGGTTCACACGCCACGCCTCAGCCTCGGCCGCCACATTCGCCACCACCACGCTCTCCCTCCGAGGTAGCGCAAGTCCCAGGTCTTTGGACGCTTGTTGCCGCCATTGGCGACTGCCGATGTCGTGGGAAACCTCATTGCGCCACACACCTTGGTCCTCAAGCACGTCGCAGCACCTCTGAGACGCTCTGAGGTGCAACTTGAGCTTGTCGTGCGTGTGGTACTCCTTGTGGCATGCCATGCATAGAGACCCTTGCGCAAGATGACGAAAGCGGGCGACACGACCATGCCAGAGGAAGAAGTGCACCCCCAGAGCGGCCTTGTTGCGGAAGACCTTCTCACAGGGCGGACACCACCAACCAGAGCTCGGACTCGGCAATGCCACATCAACCTGCGTCCTCCCCCAGGCATGGAGCGGACGGAGCGCTGCCTGAAGCGCTTGTTCGGCATGGGCCGCCTTCGCAGCCCTTTGTCCAGCGCGCTGTATCATCCCACGGAAGGTGCCGATGTGGTCCACAATCACACAACGCCACTCATACCAGGTGTCCCTGCGAGGTCTGGGAAGGTCAGCAGCCGCGAATTGCCACAGCCATTCCAGGTCCAAGCACACCTGAGCAAGCCAGTCCCTTTCCCAGTATATCACTGCCCAGATTGCTGCGCAGTCAACGCGCCAAAGTGGCCAGCAAGCCCAGGCGGCGTCGCTTGCAGAGTATGTCAAGTGACTGTGTTTGCAGCTTGGCCGGGACATCGTCCAACGGAACGCGGAGGAGCTCGTCCCAATCGTAGTGCACCCCCAGCAGTTTACGCAACAGGGTAAGGTATCCAGCCTCTAGCCTGCGCCACCCCTTGCAGGCCGGTGTCCAAAGCTCACAAGGTTGAAGTAGCTGGACTGCACTAAGGAGATGAACATGCCGCGCCGGATGTCCAGGTCAACATCAGGGTTTTGCAGAACCAACTTGCCGTAGCGACGGTAGGCAGTGGCTGCTATCGCCCCCCTGCGCCTGGCTTCTGGCTCCATGGACGCCTCTCTGTGCAGGACCGTGCCAAGGTGGGTGTACTGGGCCTCCATATAGACTTCAAGCGTTTCCCCGTCAGGCATCGGCACCTCCAAGGTCTGAGGGTTGTCCTCGAAGGCCTCCTGCCGCGCTTTCCTGCTCCCAGCTCCCCGGACGGCAAGCACAACTGCTGACTTGCCTCGCTTGAGGTTGGGCTCCATGCCGTGCTTCTTGCAAGCTTGAATCACATTGCCTGAAGCAGTTCAATGAAACCCGAAAGACTTACCGTCTGGGGCCCGGCCCGGCCTGAAGCAGTTCAAGGAAACCCGAAAGACTTACCGTCTGAGGCCCGGCCGGAATCAGTTGAAGGAAACCCGAAGGCCCCTTCCATTTGCTTATAGCACCGCCCCGGCCCCTTCCACCGCCCAGGCCCCTTCCATTTGCTGAAAGCACCGCCCAGGCCCCTTCCATTTGCTTATAGCACCGCCCAGGCCCCTTCCATTTGCTGAAAGCACCACCCAGGCCCCCTCCATTTGCTTATAGCACCACCCAGGCCCCTTGCATTTGCTTATAGCACCGCCCAGGCCCCTTCCATTTGCTTCTAGCACCGCCCAGGCCCCTTCCATTTGCTGAAAGCACCACCCAGGCCCCTTCCATTTGCTTATAGCACCGCCCAAGCCCCTTCCATTTGCTGAAAGCACCACCCAGGCCCCCTCCATTTGCTTATAGCACCACCCAGGCCCCTTGCATTTGCTTATAGCACCGCCCAGGCCCCTTCCATTTGCTTATAGCACCGCCCAGGCCCCTTCCATTTGCTGAAAGCACCGCCCAGGCCCCTTCCATTTGCTTATAGCACCGCCCAGGCCCCTTCCATTTGCTTATAGCACCGCCCAGGCCCCTTCTGTTTGCTTATAGCACCGCCCCGGCCCCTTCCATTTGCTTATAGCACCGCCCAGGCCCCTTCCATTTGCTTTTAGCACCGCCCAGGCCCCTTCCATTTGCTTTTAGCACCGCCCAGGCCCCTTCCATTTGCTGAAAGCACCACCCAGGCCCCTTCCATTTGCTTATAGCACCGCCCAGGCCCCTTCCATTTGCTTATAGCACCGCCCCGGCCCCTTCCATTTGCTTATAGCACCGCCCCGGCCCCTTCCATTTGCTTATAGCACCGCCCAGGCCCCTTCCATTTGCTTATAGCACCGCCCAGGCCCCTTCCATTTGCTTATAGCACCGCGCAGGCCCCTTCCATTTGCTGAAAGCACCACCCAGGCCCCTTCCATTTGCTTATGCCCCTTCCATTTGCTGAAAGCACCACCCAGGCCCCCTCCATTTGCTTATAGCACCGCCCAGGCCCCTTGCATTTGCTTATAGCACCGCCCAGGCCCCTTCCATTTGCTTATAGCACCGCCCAGGCCCCTTCCATTTGCTGAAAGCACCGCCCAGGCCCCTTCCATTTGCTGAAAGCACCGCCCAGGCCCCTTCCATTTGCTTATAGCACCTTCCATTTGCTTATAGCACCGCCCAGGCCCCTTCCATTTGCTTATAGCACCGCCCAGGAACCTTCCATGTGCTCATAGCACCGCCCAGGCCCCTTCCATGTGCTTATAGCACCGCCCAGGCCCCTTCCATTTGCTTATAGCACCGCCCAGGCCCCTTCCATTTGCTTATGGCGCCGCCCAGGCCCCTTCCATTTGCTATAGCACCCAGGCCCCTTCCATTTGCTTATAGCACCGCCCAGGCCCCTTCCATTTGCTGATAGCACCGCCCCGGCCCCTTCCATTTGCTTATAGCACCGCCCAGGCCCCTTCCATTTGCTTATAGCACCGCCCAGGCCCCTTCCATTTGCTGAAAGCACCGCCCAAACCCCTTCCATTTGCTTATAGCACCGCCCAGGCCCCTTCCATTTGCTGAAAGCACCACCCAGGCCCCTTCCATTTGCTTAGCACCGCCCAGGCCCCTTCCATTTGCTTATAGCACCGCCCCGGCCCCTTCCATTTGCTTATAGCACCTCCCCGGCCCCTTCTATTTGCTTATAGCGCCGCCCAGGCCCCTTCCATTTGCTTATAGCACCACCCAGGCCCCTTCCATTTGCTTATAGCACCGCCCAGGCCCCTTCCATTTGCTTTTAGCACCGCCCAGGCCCCTTCCATTTGCTTTTAGCACCGCCCAGGCCTCTTCCATTTGCTACAGCACCCCCAGGCCCCTTCCATTTGCTTATAGCACCGCCCAGGCCCCTTCCATTTGCTTATAGCACCGCCCCGGCCCCTTCCATTTGCTTATAGCACCGCCCCGGCCCCTTCCATTTGCTTATAGCACCGCCCAGGCCCCTTCCATTTGCTTATAGCACCGCCCAGGCCCCTTCCATTTGCTTATAGCACCGCCCAGGCCCCTTCCATTTATTTGCTTATAGCACCGCTTCCATTTGCTTATAGCACCGCCCCTGCCCCTTCCATTTGCTTATAGCACCGCCCAAGCCCCTTCCATTTGCTTATGGCACCGCCCAGGCCCCTTCCATTTGCTTATAGCACCGCCCAGGCCCTTCCATTTGCTATAGCACCCAGGCCCCTTCCATTTGCTTATAGCACCGCCCAGGCCCCTTCCATTTGCTTATAGCACCGCCCAGGCCCCTACCATATGCTTATAGCACCGCCCAGGCCCCTTCCATTTGCTTATGCCCAGGCCCCTTCCATTTGCTCATAGCACCGCCCAGGCCCTTCCATTTGCTTATAGCAGCCCAGGCCCCTTCCATTTGCTTGTAGCACCGCCCAGGTTCCTTCCATTTGCTTATAGCACCGCCCAAGCCCCTTCCATTTGCCCTGTTGTTTTGCTTCTGAAAACACGGCGGCGTCGAGACCGTGACAGCCCAAAACCCCTAGAAGCGGACGAGACCGTGACAGCCCAAAACACCTAGAAGCAGACAAGACCATGACGGCCCAAAACCCCTAGAAGCGGACGAGACTGTGACAGCCCAAAACCCCGAGAAGCGGACGAGACCATGACGGCCCAAAACCCCTAGAAGCGGACGAGACCGTGACAGCACACAACCCCGAGAAGCGGACGAGCCCGTGACAGCCCAAAACCCGGAGAAGCGGACGAGACCATGACAGCTCAAAACCCCGAGAAGCGGACGAGACCGTGACAGCCCAAAACCCCGAGAAGCGGACGAGACCGTGACAGCCCAAAACCCCTAGAAGCGGACGAGACCGTGACAGCCCAAAACCCCTAGAAGCGGACGAGACCGTGACGGCCCAAAACCCCTAGAAGCGGACGAGACCGTGACAGCCCAAAACCCCGAGAAGCGGACGAGCCCGTGACAGCCCAAAACCCGGAGAAGCGGACGAGACCGTGACAGCCCACAACCCCGAGAAGCGGACGAGCCCGTGACAGCCCAGAACCCCTAGAAGCGGACGAGACCGTGACAGCTCAAAACCCGAGAAGCGGACGAGACCGTGACAGCCCAAAACCCCGAGAAGCGGACGAGACCGTAACAGCCCAAAACCCCGAGAAGCGGACGAGACCGTGACAGGCCCACGACCCCGTGAAGCGGACGAGACCGTGACAGCCCAAAACCCGGAGAAGCGGACGAGACCGTGACAGCCCAAAACCCGGAGAAGCGGACGAGACCGTGACAGCCCAAAACCGTGACAGCCCAAAACCCCGAGAAGCGGACGAGACCGTGACAGCCCAAAACCCGAGAAGCGGACGAGACCATGACAGCCCAAAACCCCGAGAAGCGGACGAGACCGTGACAGCCCGAGAAGCGGACGAGACCGTGACAGCCCAAAACCCCGAGATGCGGACGAGACCGTGACAGCCCAAAACCCCGAGAAGCGGACGAGACCGTGACAGCCCAAAACCCCGAGAAGCGGAGGAGACCGTGACCGCCCAAAACCCCGAGAAGCGGACGAGACCGTGACAGCCCAAAACCCCGAGAAGCGGACGAGACCGTGACAGCCCAAAAACCCGAGAAGCGGACGAGACCGTGACAGCCCAAAACCCCGAGAAGCGGACGAGACCGTGACAGCCCAATTCCCGAGAAGCGGACGAGACCGTGACAGCCCAAAACCCCTAGAAGCAGACAAGACCGTGACGGCCCAAAACCCCTAGAAGCGGACGAGACCGTGACAGCCCAAAACCCCGAGAAGCGGACGAGACCATGACGGCCCAAAACCCCTAGAAGCGGACGAGACCGTGACAGCCCACAACCCCGAGAAGCGGACGAGCCCGTGACAGCCCAAAACCCGGAGAAGCGGACGAGACCGTGACAGCTCAAAACCCCGAGAAGCGGACGAGACCGTGAGCCCAAAACCCCTAGAAGCGGACGAAACCGTGACAGCCCAAAACCCCGAGAAGCGGACGAGACCGTGACAGGCCAAAACCCGGAGAAGCGGACGAGACCGTGACAGCCCACAACCCCGAGAAGCGGACGAGACCGTGATAGCCCAAAACCCCTAGAAGCGGACGAGACCGTGACAGCCCAAAACCCCTAGAAGCGGACGAGACCGTGACGGCCCAAAACCCCTAGAAGCGGACGAGACCGTAACAGCCCAAAACCCCGAGAAGCGGACGAGCCCGTGACAGCCCAAAACCCGGAGAAGCGGACGAGACCGTGACAGCCCACAACCCCGAGAAGCGGACGAGCCCGTCACAGCCCAGAACACCTAGAAGCGGACGAGACCGTGACAGCTCAAAACCCGAGAAGCGGACGAGACCGTGACAGCCCAAAACCCCGAGAAGCGGACGAGACCGTAACAGC